AATTCAGATTTGTAAACCAAATAAATTAAGACATTTTTGTGTCATAAAAAGTTTACTTTAGAGCAGTCACCGAGGCCTGGACCTGCGGCGGCGTCGACGACTGCAGAGGGCCGGGCGGGGCCTAGAGGCCGGGCTGGCGCGTGGCGGCAGCCGAGTACCCAGGGACAGGTCTGGCGCGCAGGCGCTGACCCGACCGGGCAGTGAGCCGTCTTGGTCTTGGCTCAGAGGCCTTAACCAGGCCGGCCGCCGCGCCCTGCTTGTAGGTTGGGCCGCGGTCGGGGTAGGAGCCTACGCGGGGCGGGGGCGATGGATGCCTTAGAAGAAGAGAGCTTTGCGCTTTCTCTTCCGCCTCTGATGCAGAATTTGATGCTGTGGTTGGACATTATCGTGGATGACGAGTTCCAGTGATTACAGAGAAATTTCATGGACAAGTACTACCTGGAGTTTGAAGACACGGAAGAGAATAAACTCACTTACACACCTGTTTTTAATGAATACATTTCTCTGGTAGAAAAATATATTGAAGAACAGCTGCTGGAGCGAATTCCTGGATTCAACATGGCAGCTTTCACCACAACATTACAGCACCATAAAGATGAAGTAGCTGTTGACATATTTGACATGCTGCTCACCTTTACAGATTTTCAGAGTTTTAAAGAAATGTTTTTGGACTACAGAGCAGAAAAAGAAAGCCGAGGACTGGATTTAAGCAGTGGCTTAGTGTTGACATCCTTGTGCAAATCATCATCTGTGCCAGCTTCTGCGAACAATCTGCAGCACTAGGTCCTGCCTCCAGCCAATGAATGGGATCATTCTGGATATCACCGGCCCAATAGGCTCAGCTCATGATGACAGAAATACATCTTAAAAAGACTGACTCTGTTATGTAACTCTTCGTGTATGTTAACTATTGATACGTCAAAACCAAAATGACCTAACCTCTCCTTGACCTCTTTCTCCTGAAACACCTTCTTGAATTCATTTACCATAGTACTCCTCTCCTCCTCAAGTAGTCACCTCTCTCAGGAGCTTCTGAGTCACACGCTTCTGGAGTGAGCCCATGTCAGGCACTCCTCCTGGGGCGGCGGGGGGGTGCGGGGAGGCTTTCCCTAGCATACATGCTGGTGTGTGTGGACTAACCTGTCGTCACCACCCCCTGTCCCAGCAGGCTTGGCATGAATCTTTTTGTGCACTTGCACCCCTTTTTTCACATGGGTCATGGTTTCCGTACTTCAGCCTCAGTGGGGTTCCCATTTATCTAGGGTGTTACTCTAGCTTATCTTGAGATTTTGGACTCTCCTGTGATTACAGCTTTTCTCGGCTGTAGGAATCAACAGAAAGAGACGTCTTCTGCATAAAAGCTCCACTTGAAAAGCCACCCCTAGTCCTAACATTTCCAGTCCTAGTGTCACTGTCTTCTGGTTCTGATTTATTCCCCACTGTTTCTAGAAGTCTCTTTTAAGCATTATTTTTGAAAAAAAAATATTTTTATACATGAATACTCAGGCTAACCTAGTGGATGTGATCTTGGAACTTCCATGATTATCCACGTAAAAGATCAAAGTATTATATGCGGTGAGCTTTTTAGTTATTAGTGCTGTGAAGGCAAAACTGCTTTCTACATTGGCGTTCGTTCCTATGTTACTAGGCACCGATGAATGTATGCAGTGTGCTATAAATAGACTAAAACATATTCTTATAGCATGTTAGTGTGCATGCATGTTTGCTGAAAATCCTTTCTGTATAAACCAGTTTGTTAGGTTGTCTGGATTAGGTAGGGACTGCAGTTTTTTCCTGTCAAAATTTCTCCTACCAAGATGGTGTTCCACTGTCCAGCCCAGCATGAGTAGCAGGTAGAACACAGCTTTACTGGCTGTTTGTCTGCTTTGGTGTAGTGCAATGTGTGTTAGATGACTTATCAGAAAACATGTATGTCATCTCTAGAAAGAAAAAAACATAGTAGTCAAATTCCCAGTGTGTCCCTTTGACTTTTTTTAATAGTAAAAATAAGAATCTGTACTGACTTTTCACTTGGCCATTCTGGTTTTAAAGGAAAAGCTATAAGCTCTGTGTTTTTCTGTACTGATGTCACTTATTAAATACTTTTGTACCATGAGTAAAATTTGAGGTGTTTTGCAAGAAAAAAAAAGTTTGCTTTATGAAAAGACTCAAATACAGGTTTTTTTTCTTTTCTTATTTTGAGACAGAGTATTGCTCTGTTCCCCAGGCTGGAGTGCAGTGGCGTGATCTTGGCTCAGTGCAACCTCTACCTCCCAGGTTCAAGCGATTGTCCTACCTCAGCCTTCTGAGTAGCTGGTATTATAGATGCCTGCCACCATGCCCAGCTAAGTTTTGTATTTTTAGTAGAGATAGGGCTTAGACGATATAATGGTAGGAAGATACAGTATAGTGTAAACACACTGTATTATGTACACTAACACACTGTACTATCTCTGCCTACCATTATACTGTCTATGCCCAATATTATACTCTTGCGGTCAAGACACATTAATATAAAAAATTAAAGTCATATGATTAACTTAATCATATAAAATACATCACAAGTATCAAGACTGGCACAATCATAATGCCAAAGGTGATAGAGGCAGAATAAATTATGGGGTCAGAAGACACTGAGTAATAATGAATTTAGAGTAGAGAAAAGAGCAAGTTAGAGAAGGGCACGATCTAAGAAAAATACAAAATAGGCTGGGCACAATGGTTCACACCTGTAATCCCAGCACTTTGGGAGGCAGAGGGGCGGATCTCCTGAGGTCAGGAGTTCGAGACCAGCCTGACCAACATGGAGATACCCTGTCTCTACTAAAAATATAAAATTAGGCAGGTGTGGTGGCGTACACCTGTAATCCCAGGTACTGGGAAGGCTAAGAGAATTACTTCAACCCTGGAGGTGGAGGTTGCGCTAAGCCAAGATTGTGCCATTGCACTCCAGCCTGGGCAACAAGAATGAAACTCTGTTTCAAAAAAAAAAAAAAAAAAGAAAAGAAAAGAAAAACAATAAGAAAAGTACAAATAGAGCTATACTGGAGAATTTTTATAGAGGAGTAGTGGGAGAAAAGGTTAGAAAGGTGAGCTGGAGCCACATTATAAACCATGATACTAGCCTTAGAAATCTGGGCTTCATTCTGGGTAACAGTGGTTCTGGGAGTCCAGTGTACACAAAAATCATCCCGGGGGGAAGACTGGTGACTAGACAGATTTTAACTCCTGCGATTCGAATTTAGCATGTTTGGGATGGTCCCAAAAAACTGCATCTGAACAGGGTCCCCAGGTGATTCCGGTACATGGACACTCTTTGAGACACTCCACCCCAGGACAAATGATTAAGAAACTCTACTATTAACTGTTGCAAATACCCCAATTCCCTGTATGCTGTGAAAACATTTAATTTCATCCAATTTTTCTTTGTTATTTAGCATTGACTTTGTCACTGTTTACATCTTGAGTGAATGTGCTTAACAATGCGCTTTTCTGGTTCTCTCTGACTCTCTATCTTCTCCTCTGGCCTCTCATACTTTGCCCATTCTTTACATGTTATTTCATAAGATTTTGATTTTAGTCCTCTACAGATCTCCCTGAGTTATTTCATTCACTCCTAAGGAGCATATAGAATGCTGATACCAATCTCAGAAGATTAGACTTTGTCCTGTAGATAAACAGGAGTTATGAAAGTTTCTAAGAGTAGAATATCATAGAGAAAGACGTTCTGGGAATGTAACCTTGGAGATGGTCTACAGAAAAGGAATAGGCATAGGAGAAACAGGAGGTAGGGAGAATAACTATAAGACCACCAAAATAACTGTTTAAAGTCATCAAGGGATGACTTCAGAATGAAAATGTTACTTTTCTAGTAGTTCTTCCCTTTAAGAAATTAGCCTTATTTCAATAAATTAATAGGCAAGACAGTTCTAAGTACACTGGAATTTCATTATCTTTTTTTGCTATATAATTAACTATATTATAAGAAATCAGGTCCTCTGCAATGTTAATCAGATAGTAAAAATCTGACATGACATTGTTCTATTATAACATCAATGTGATTTCTTTTCTAAAACAAATGGCACAAAGGATTTTATAATATTGATAAGTTTTCATTATGGAGTCAAGAAATCATCATTAGTACAATATTATTCATAAATGGTAAACTTTACTTTATGACTTGAACTCATGAAAGAATGGTAAAAGTATATTTGATTTTACTTTATATGAAGGTACTCAAGCTATTAAACCATATCCATTGTGTCTTATACACATTATTTTCTATAACTGAATCCAGAGGTTTCTAAATTGGCAGATAAAATAGTACCTGTATTTAGATATTCTACTTGAAAGATTCTAGAATCTTAGAAAAACAAAGGCGGAAAGTGCCTAAATTAGGTTCAACCCTGTCTGCTCCTAATTTAGTAGATAAACCAATTTATTGGCCATTCTTTCTCAAGTGTTCCAAATTGAGAGATGCTAGGAATTTATCAAGATCAATTTCAATTTTTAACAACTCTCACTACAAGAAAGTCAAGAAAATAGAAATTAGTCCTCCCCTTTGTGTGACCTTGGGAAAATTCCTTAAGCATTGTCTAACTTTTCACAGTGCTATCCTCATCATACATATACTGTGAAAGTAGAATATCTATTGAAGATTCTTTGAACACATTGGGCTGGAAGAGCTACAAAAACCAAGGTATAGCTATTTTCATATCCACGACTTCATTTGCCTTTTCCCTTGCTGTAGTCTCCCTGGAAATTAAGCAAAGATGGCTATGACCTTCTGCTTAATAACCCTTCATGTACCTGAAATTGTTACTCTTCCCAGGTACCTCAAGAACATTTTTTAGAGAGGACTGCCTGAACTCTAAAACAGCAATCAAGAGCTATGAGTCAGCATTTCACCTACAAATAAAATCAAAATGTTTTAAAATAGGTAACATAATCTTTTTGAAAGACATACATACCTCTTTGGAGAAGCTGTGAGACAGCTGGAGTTTGCAAGTTTATGAATAGTTTATTACATTTTAATAAGTGTATCATGAATCAATAAAGCAAAAGTTAAGGACAATGAGCTAATTACTAAGCCAGTTATTGATTCTCTAGTTCCAAAATAGAATAGTACAGGAAGGGTATAGAGAAAATAGAATTTTTTCATGATAAAAATTTTAAGTATGTTAGGAAGACAGACCTAAAGAAACCATTAGACACAACAAAAATTTCAGCAGCTACTTAGGATGTTTATTTATTTACCTTTTTTGTCAATGAGAATTATTTGGTTTTTACTCTTTAAAAAAAAACACCTTTTCAAACCAAGTCAGAGGAGTTTGCCAAAACTGAATATTACCTCTTATTGACTTAATTATTTTTTCAATTTCTTGTGTATTTTCCTCTCTTGCCTTTGAAAAGTTTACCTTACTAGCTGTCTATCTTATAACACTGTCATAGTTCAGACTGCCCTAACTAAATAACATAGGACTGGGTGGTTTAAACAACACAAGTTTATTTCCTCACAGTTCTGGTGGTTAGAAGTTCAAGATAAGGGTGTCAGGGTCTGTTTCTGGTGACTACTTTCTTTCTGGCTTGTAAACAGCCACCTTCACTCGGGGGTGCTGTGGGACAGGATGGTTGGAGGAGATCTATATTACATTTGCATGTGTATTATTAAAAGAAATGGTGAATCACATATGGAAATATAGAGAACTGCAGTAGTAAATAAAATTAACAAATTTACAATTAGGCTGTACTGAAGTTTACCTAATTTTAATAGAAATTGTTATTTTTATTACATGCTATACAAATTTGATGGTATAAGACATTGCAAAATGCTAAAACTGCACATAATCTTTTAAAAACAATTAAGATGGCTGGGTGCAGGAGCTCATGCCTGTAATCCCAGCACTGTGGGAGGCTGAGGTGGGCAGGTCACCTGAGGCTGGCAGTACAAGACCAGCCTGACCAACATGGAGAAACCTCATCTCTACTAAAAATACAAAATTAGCCAGGCATGGTGGCGCATGCCTATAATCTCAGCTACTCGGGAGGCTGAGGCAGGAGAATTGCTTGAATCTGGGAGGTGGAGGTTGTGGTGAGCCAAGACCGCGCCATTGCATTCCAGCCTGGGCAACAAGAGCAAAACTCTGTCTCAAACAAAACAAAACACAATTAAGAACATTTCCTTAATGACTATGAAGTGAATACACAGCATATTTCAAATTTTCAAGTAGAAGGGTAGAGGAATGTAGGACAAAAGGCGACTGAGATCCAGAGTTTAGGTGACTTGGCAAAGTCATCCGATAAGCAGGTTATAGAATTATATATGAAACCCAAGATTTTCTTAGCTAAAAATGCTGAAGATTAGTATATTCAAGATGAAGGGTAATAAAATCTAATTATACTTTAGATCATTTCATACCAGAAAACAGCTATAGAAACTAGGTTTTCATTTTCAAAACTCAATTAAGTGTGTGTATGGTCCGTTGGTGTCTAGCTTTAACACCTGCCTATTCCCATAAGTGCCATGTTCCACTACAACTCCAGCTTCAGCACACTTGCTATTAGCAGCTACTTCTTTTTCACACAGAGTAACAAATTGAGAGTAAAGTTCAAACCCTTCTTCTTTTCCAGAGTTAGAGTGATATTGCATGTTTCTTCCTTTTAGTCTTCCTCCAAGGGTAGCTTGAGGGATAATAAGAATGTTGCCAGGTAGATCCAATATAGAGACTTGCTTGCCATTTTCTGTTTCACTTAATTTCACATTTAACAGTGTATTAACTGGGTAAGGAAGAAAGGCAAAACATTTTAAAGTGAAAAACAAAGATGAAGAAAGCCATCAAGTTTTTAATTAGTCAGCAAATTTCATGTTTAAAATTCAGTTTGTCAGCTCATACTTCTAACCCAGTCTCTAGATTTAAAATACTGCTTCACTAAGCTAAATAATCTAAGCATGAAAAATAAAGAAATTTCATGCAGAAAATGGTATGATATTTTAAATTTGACTTGGCAGTTAAGATCACCTAACAATAAATTCATCCAGAGAGGTCTAAAAAATTAACTTACACTGGAACCTCAAATATTGTTCTCCTGGGAGAATACATGAGAATATTATACCTTCCTGTTCCTTTTATTTCATAAATAAATTCCACAGAAAAAGACGAGGATAAATCCTCCTCACACCAAATTGTGCTTTATAGTGGGATATCAAATAAAAATTTTAGTGCAGTTATTATTTTAAACTTAGCTGCCAAGACTTTTAAGCGGAGACAAAGGTTCCTGGTTCAATCCCATTATAAACCACTTAATTTTGTTGTTTAATAACCTTAAAGGCAATATTAACATGGCTAATCATTTTATAAATATATGGACTAATCATCTTATAAATATAACCCATGACAGAAGGGTAAAGGTGAAAGCAGGAATCATCAGAAATTCATTGGTACAACTGAAAAAGTAAATTAAAAGATATAAAGCTACCTATACTATCTTCCTATACATATAAAAATGTGATATTATTTTTATAGCATTTATGATATTTCTTTTTTTTTTTTTTTTTTTTTTGAGATAGAGTTTCGCTCTTGTTACCCAGGCTGGAGTGCAATGGCGCGATCTCGGCTCACTGCAATCTCCGCCTCCTGGGTTCAGGCAATTCTCCTGCCTCAGCCTCCCGAGCAGCTGGGATTACAGGCACGCACCACCGTGCCCAGCTAATTTTTTGTAATTTTAGTAGAGACGGGGTTTCACCATGTTGACCAAGATGGTCTCGATCTGTTGACCTCGTGATCCACCCGCCTCGGCCTCCGAAAGTGCTGGGATTACAGGCTTGAGCCACCGCGCCCGGCCGATATTTCTTACAGTTAATAAAAAGTGTTGAAACCGCCGTAAGTATCCATGTATAGCTAAAAGCCTAAACTTAGAACACCTTTATACCTTAACATTAACCATTTTCAAAACAGTAAGCAAAAGAAGTATCTAATATAAAGAGACTTAGGGTCTCCCTACCTCTATAAAGGTATAAATTGACCTCTGTTTGCAAAGAATAGTCCTGAGAGGACAAATGGTAGAAGGAACTATACAAACCTCAAGACACCTGCCCTCAAATTAGGTTTTAAAAGGCATGCTTTCTGTTGGGGTAATTAATGGTTTTAATTAATAGAGAGTCTGTAGTAAATATTCATGTGGTTGCCCCTCTCTACAAATCATAGAATTAAACTGGAAAATACCTGCCAACGTCAACTCTCAAATGAATTCCTAAGCTAGGCATTAAGCATCATCAATTTTCACTTAACTAACATTTATTTTTTAATACCTCTAGTTTTTCTCTATTACACATAGGACTTTGCTGTTTAGCCAGCAGTCTTTATTGACTGCCTGTAAGGAAACTTAACTTTCTGGAGCACTACATTGCACTGGAAATCACTATCTAGCTCTCTAGGCCTCAGGCTAGTGAGAGTTAAGTAGGCAATTTTGGAATAACAGGCTTGAGAGGTAATGCTACGATATATTAATTTCCACGTACCTCCCTCTACTGGCTATACCTGAGAGTTCAGTTAATGCTGTTGGTATACAAATATCAGTATGTACATAAATACAATGTAGAACCAGTAAGCAGAATTAAAACGAGACAATGAATTAATGGCATGTTGGAAACTCAAATATTCTAAAACAGGTTATTAATCAAGTATCTCTTAATGATGTATATGGGATGTTAAGCTTTGACATGTCTCTGGCTCTCAGTCCAATTATATTGAAGATGAATTGAGGAAGATTCTACACATCTCTATGTTAGCTATGCTATTTTGGATTTTATAGATGTAACTGATTATTATATTCTCAAGGGATATATGCTTTGATTGGAAATATCTGAATCTATGTAATAAATATGAGGTGAAATTTAAGAGAATCCCATCACATTGACTTACTTAACCTACTGGAATAGAGGGAAGTACAAGCTAATGCTATCAATAATAGATGCACTTATTTTGCTTACAAGTCAAATGAGCAGAATGTGATTCTTAGAGTCATATATTTCTTTACTAAGAATCATGATATAAAAAATCATGTTAGATATTGTTAGACTATCTGCTACAAGAGTTAGGGTGGAATTCCTTGGTGTTTTAAATTTACCACAATCTTATGCATATATTTAAAGTTAACTCACAAAGACAGATATGGAAGCACACAGGATTTAATCACTAAAAAAACAACATGCAGTTTGGATGTGGTAGGCATATTTCATCCTATTATGCTGAAGAACCATTTGAGACTCCATAAGACAACTTTAGGAAGTCAATCTTAAGTCAGAATGACAAAAACTTCCTGTTTTTGAAGATTTCTACATTTTTTATGGCCCAAAAAGATTTAATCCAAGGCAAAATATTAATTTAGGAAAGTGGACAGAATGTCTAACACTCTAGCATTAGGATCAGACAAATTATTCTCTATAATAGGAGTCCTCATTACATTATGTTCTTTGTTTTTCATTTTTTACTTTCTTCTTCAGATCAGAACATTATGTTCTTAACCCTTCAAAGGTTCCTTATTATCTTCTAGATTCAAATTTCAAACTATTGCAGTTACTGGCTTTCTATTCTCACCTATCAAAGTCTCTTAAATCTGGTTTTCATCTTTTGACAAAGTTGTCAGACATGTTTGATATATCAGTATAAAATTCCCTCTTGGAGTTTTAGCTTTATGTCCAAGCTCTTCCTCATTGCCCTATTTGCCCTTGACATTCTTCTAGGTTAACTTCTGTAGGCTTCAACTGCATATTTGTATAATTAGTCATTCTTATTAATCCAACTAATGGATGCTGTCCTTTACTAATGAGGAGAATACAACCTGTTCCCATCTTTAAGGATACCTTCTTTTATTTCAGGTTTGGATGTTTGTTTGTTTTTGGACATAATTGCTATATCCAAATACTGTCTTGAGAGGGTATATGATTTGATTTGGTATATCTGAACCTAGGTAATTATCACCTGAAATGCTATAGCCATGTGAGATACTGTGTGTATGTATATATATATATATCACTGTCCAATGCTATTGCCTGTCCAGGAAACTAGAAAGCTGCAGGTAGATAAATTACTGTTCAGAGACTGCTGAACATTGACTCTGTTTTCTATGTCCTTGGAGGAGGTATGGCTAAGATGACAATGAATCTGGCTCAAGATTCAGGAGAACCTTATATCTATACTTATTTCCACAAAGAAGTGCATACATGGCTAATTCAAATTCTTCCATAATAATGATATAAGCTTGAGTTGTCCAGATTTGATGAGACCCATATCTTATATATACTACATCATCTACTTCCTCTGTTAGGGACCCTGGGGGATAAAGGAAACTATATTAAGAATTGCAGCATCTGTTTCTCCCTATGTGACCACCCTATTTCCAAGAAGTTTCTGTATCCTTGGCTGAAGTGTATTGCGTGTATGCATATGTGTGTACACTCTTCTAAATCAATTTGTAAGTCATCTGAAATGCTGCGATGTTTCAAAAGAATTCCACCATACTTGCTTACTTTAAACTTTGAAACAAGCAAATAGCTAAAGCCAAAAACACTTGACAGAGCTAAGTAATTAATAACTTAATCAGCACAATTTAAGATTGTGCTTCTTAGGATGGGCAGAGATTGGTTAATGGATACAAAATTATAGCTAGATAGGAGGAATGAGTTCTGGTGTTCTGCAGCACTGTAAGATAAATATGGCTAACTATAATTTATTGTATACTTTCAAAAATCTAGAAGAAAGGATTTTAAATGTTCACAACACAAATAACAAATGTTTGGGATAATGCTTATCTGGTTTGATTGTTATACATTGTATACAGTATAAAACTATCACTCTGTATCCCACAAATGTGTAAAATTATTATTTTAAAAATAAAAGGGGAGGAAGGCTGGGCGCGGTGGCTCACGCCTGTACTCCTAGCACTTTGGGAGGCCGAGGTGGATGGATCACCTGAGGTCAGGAGTTCAAGACCAGCCTGGCCATCATGGAGAAACCTCATCTTTAATAAAAAAATAAAATAAATAAATAAATAAATAAAAGGGGAGGAAAAAAGACTGTTGCTTCTTGTCCCTTCTGGTTCATTTGTCCATTACTATTCTTTCTCACTTTTTTTTCTGAGACAGGTGTTGCTCTGTTGTCCAGGTTGAAGTAGTGCCATCTTGGCTCACTGCTGCCTGGACCTCCTGGTCTCAAGTAATCTTCCAGCCTCGGCCTCCTAAGTAGCTAGGACCATAGGCACAGGTCACCAAACCTGGCTAATTATGTGTATTTTTTTTGTAGGGAAGAGGTCTTACTATTTTGCCCAGGCTGGCCTCCAATTCCTGGGTTCAAGCAATTCACCTGCCTAGGCCTCCTAATGTGCTGGGATTACAGGTGTTAGCCACTGCACTTGACCTCTCACTCTGAAAAAGGAAACAAAATTGGCCGGGTGCAGTGGCTCACGCCTGTAATCCCTGCACTTTGGGAGGCCAAGGCAGGCAGATCACGAGGTTAGGAGATCAAGACCATCCTGGCTAACATGGCGAAACCCTGTCTCTACTAAAAATACAAAAAATTAGCTGGGCGTGGTGGTGCACGCCTGTAGTCCCAGCTACTTGGGAGGCTGAGGAAGGAGAATCACTTGAACCTAGGAGGCGGATGTTGCAGTGAGCCTAGATTGCACCACTGTACTTCAGTCTGGGTGACAGAGCGAGACTCTGTCACAAAAAAAAAAAAAAAAAAAAAAAAAGGGCAACAAAATAAAACACATACCCATTTTGGGAAGAAGTTCTTTATCAGCTCCCTTGAAAAAGCATACGTAGATCACCAATGCTTTCTGAACCTATAAGAAATCACCAGTAAACTCAGATTACAACGATATCTACAAAGATACAGGGCTAAATGAGTAAAATTTCACAGCTATTAATACTATAGACAGAGAGGTTAAAAGCACAGAAAATGAACTTTACCAAAGATTTCTCATGTGAAAAAAACAAAATATTTTTCAAGTTCCAATCATCTCAGTTATTTTTTCAAAAATTAAGTTTAAAATATAGCCAAGAGGAGTGAAGACAAGTTAACGTTCAACATCATTAAGACTATCAACCAGCCATTTCATCAGTAAGTAAGGCTGACAGACTGAGACTAAGAAACATTTTGTTTGGTGGACCCCATTATAAACAACATGTGACTGATGTCTTTTGACATCATCTGTATTTCCCCTAATCCACTTACTTACTGATAATGAAAATAAGGGTCTGATTCTATTTCTGTAAACTCCAGGAAACTGTCCAATTATCTGTTGTTGTTGTTAATTCTTTAAATAAACATGAGTAGGACTTGAAAACTGCATTTGTGATAATAAGGTCTACATTAAAAGGTTGGTTGTTATCAGGAAAATAGACTTACTTGTTTTACATAATGACCTGGATATTTCTTAGATCAGGTAGGACAGAGACTATACAGAAAAGAGACACTTGAATAGTGACTTTGATTCTGCTTCTGAGTGAATCATTAGATTTTTTGATTCTGTAAATTAACCTTGACTCCAGGAGCTATTAGGACGAATAAATGACTTAATACTTGTACTTCAAAAACAGTGCCTGGTTCATAGTAATTGCTATATTAGTGTTTATTAAATGAGTATGTAAAAATAAACTTAAGGGCAGAGGCACAATTTATTTCACATTTTAACTTCCAAAGCGCTTTACAGGCTGTTTTGTATATGATAGGGATTCAATTTATCTGTTGATTACATTAACATTCAACTATATGTTCCAGGCTCTATGAGTTATCTAAAGAATTTTCTAGATAAATGTAAATGCAGCTCTGCACTCACACTTGATTTATCAACCTGGAAAATAGGTGAGTTTTAAAAAATGCAATTGTGCTACTGAAACAATAGGCAAGGGCCTCCACTGTATACCCATGAGAAGCTGGCAAGTTATTACAGATATTTGCACTACTGTCACAGGCCTCTCCACTAGTATTGTTTTCATTATGAATCAAAATCTTATGTTGTGAACTGAACGCGAGCCCGGGAATCTCATCCAGCGAGAGGGTCCCAAACCTGGAAGAGAGCGCGTGCCAGAAAAAAAAGGAGATAGAAAAGGCGAGGTCTGGAGGGCTACATGCGCTATGCTCATGCAGCAATTTTATTTTTGCAATGTGTTTCATTATATACTTTTCTGAAGTTAAAGTTGTTTACACCAGATTAACGTACTTAAGTTACAGTAAGCAAGTTACACCCAGTAAGTAAGTTAAGCGCAGTAAGTAGGTTACTTCCAGTAAGTAGGTTACGCCCAATAGGTCAAGGTAAGTAGATTACAGTCACGCCCTGTAAGCCATGGTAAGTTACAGTTATGCCCTGTAAGTTACGGTAAGTAAGTTACCAAGTGTTAATATTTAAGTTAATATTTTGCAATGGAGGTAACAGGGGTCCAAAATGAACACAATGAGACAATAAACCATGAGAAGCCGAAAGTAGCCACAATGCCTCCCAAGTCCTCATATCCATAAAGTAATGACTGTTGACTATTTTGAATAACATATAGTTCCTCTCTCGGTTCCTGCTTTCCCTCAGCTCGACTCCCCCAACCGGGGATCTGTGTCCGGGCTCAAGCTCACCAGATGGTGAGGCCCATTTTCTAGGGGCCTCACACAGGAGTGATCCCCACAGGTCTCCCTTAATCTTAAGCATATTTATATTCAGACACATGCAATGTCAGAATTAAATACCTAATCATTTGCAGAAAGATACCTGTTCTTTCCACTTACCACATTATCTCCTCATTAAGGTATCTGTCTTTCATTTATTCCATAACAGATCTTAAGTTGTGACTTCAAGTCAAAAATCACTCTCCTTGTAACTTCTTTGGTATAAAACATTTCAAATATATAAAAAAAAACAGAGAATTCTCACTGTACCTTTAAAAAGTTCACTTACCAGGAAGAAAAACATTAGTCTGTGACAGCAAAGTTCTAAAATGAGTGAAACTAAGAACAAGCAAAGAAAATAACCTTCAAATATTGACAATAAAAATGCTGTTTCTAAAAACACAAGAACTTTTAATAATAGAGCGGAGTAGAAAAGACGTAAGAGAAAAGAATTTATATTTTTCTCACCATCTAAATTACTTGTCACCTCTTTAAACTAATTTAGTCATGTGTGTAGGAGTCAAAGGGAAAGGCTTTAAAATAGTTTTTAAGTTTATAAACACAAACTGATAGTTTGGATGCCTGCAATAATGTATGTGATTTTGCATAAGGAGATGTAGCCTGAAGAACATAAAAAAGATAAATAAGCATGGAAGGAAACTAAATGACTGATACTTTGGAATTTATGATGTCTGGAGGCAGCTATAAAAATGGATGATTCTTTTATTTATTTTTGAGAGGAGGTCTCACTCTGTGGTTCAGGCTGGAGTGCAATGACGTGATCTCCACTCACTGCAACCTCTGCCTCCTGGGTTCAAGCAATTCTCCTGCCTTAGCCTCCTGAGTAACTTGGATTACAGGTGCATGCCATGACGCCCAGCTAATGTTTGTATTTTTAGTAGAGATGGGATTTCACCATGTTGGCCAGGCTGGTCTTGAACTCCTGACCTAAAGTGATCCACTGGCCTCCCAAAGTGCTGGGATTATTGCGCCTGGCCAGTTAATTCTTTAGATAGGATTGCAAAATAAAAGAATAAAATTTCAAATAAAGAAGAGAAATCACGACCTCAAAAAAATCATGACAAAAATAAGAAATAAGAAAAACGAATTTCTGGGAAAGGAAAGAGGTAAGAATACAGGAATTTCTATGGTTATATTTCCAAATTAGCACAGGGGAACCGATTCTGATTTTAGAATAATTGCTCACACATCATACAATTCACGGGTGCTATTTATAAAATAATAAGTAGGCCAAGGGCAGTAGCTCAGGCCTGTAATCCCAGCACTTTGGGAGGCTGAAGCAAGTGGCTCACCTGAGGTCAGGAATTCGAGACCAGCCAAGCCAAAACTAAAAATACAAAAATTAGCCGGGCGTAGTAGCTCACGCCTGTAGTTTGAAAACTGTTTGAACTCGGGGGCGGGGAGGCGGCAGGGGAAGAGGTTGCAGTGAGCTGAGATCCTGCCACTGCACTCCAGCCTGGGTGATGAAGCAAGACTCCGTCTCAAAATAAATAAATAAATAAAATGAATATCAAATAATAACTGAAATTGTTTTAAGAAATGCTAGATCTAGGACCAAACTCAGCAGAAAAGATGAGCGAATGAAATTTTGCTACACTGAAGTGAGTACCTACAAAAGTCTTAATTATGAACTAATTTTTTTCTTACATTTCAGTGTACTCCAAAAATATGTCAGAGGCCTTAAAATTTTTGTTTTTGTATGCAGTGGGGGCAGGCTGTCTTAAAAAGTAAAGGATGTATGAGAGTCGAAGGAATTCAGTGACATACATGTTTTAAATTCTTTGGAGAGATGTGTTTGATGACATGTAACATTGTTATAACAGTAATGGTCTTTGTATCTCAGTTGGAAATAGATCAAAATTTTAAAAAGGTTTCTTGAAATAGAATTTTTTTTTTTAAGGAAATCTCATTTCTATGCTAAGACCAAGTCAAACTAAGGAGGAGTTCGACACGATCTGAGGACTATAAGTCAAAGCAGATCATGAACTCTTGCATCAAACCTGACCTACTAGCTTGCCCCTGACCAACACAGCCCACGAGCTTCAAGCTGTCTGGGACATGAGGCATAAAGTCCACTGAACTAAGTTTCATATCCTCGTGGTACCCCCAAGCAGGGAAACGCGCTCTTCTCGGGGGCTACGACTGGCGCTGGAGAACGGTGGTGCAGGACCGAAAAGGCAAGCGCAGCCAGTCAGGCCACTGCGGGCAGCGTCGGGCTGACCTGGCAACTCCGCGGCCTGACCGCAGGTCTCAGAGAGAGACGCGGAGGGGACGAGTTACCGAGATAACGGGGAAAAAACCCGCCTCCCACGCCGGAGGGTAACGAGAGCGGCCGGGCTGACGTTACCTCCACCCACTGGGCCGCGGCATCCCCATCGGCTGGGCGAATTTGCAACCGGGCGTGCAGGCACTGCTGCAGGAGCGCCCGGGCCTGTAGCATACGGCTGCCCTCAGCCATGGTTTAAGCCGCCGTAGCTTCCGGACAGTTACGAGGCCTAGTGCCACAGGCCCCTCCCGCGACGCGCTGACGCGGCAGACGGGGCGGGGCGCGATGAAGGGACTGCTCCAATCTCTCAGGGGCCCCTCCTTCTAGGGGCGGGGCCTCTTCCTAAGTCTCAGATGTCCCGGATGTGCGGTTTTGAGGCCGGTGTAGCGCTAATCTCGCAGAATCTGCTGGAGTTTGTAGCAGGCCCTCCGTGTATACTTTAAATGATTGAAAAGACTCGTTAGATCTCTTTCCTACACACCTTTTAAGAAAATTTTCAACTCAGAAAGTTCCAACTGTTGAAACATTTTAAATCTGCTGTATTTAAATTCATGTTATGCCCATTATGAAGGTAAGTAAACAAATCAGAAAGCAAGCAGAGATGGAACTAAAAGCTCTGTATACACATCTTTCAAAGTTTTCCTTATCCCAATCAATAAAAAATGTTGCCTCCTCTACTGAGAATGCCATAAATCATTCTCATTCCACAGTTGTGAAAAGGTATTTGTATGCTATATGAATTCAAATCATGGTGTTGATATACCAAGGTATTGCTGTGCTATATGAATACACATTCTTTAGATCATTTTTTAGAAGATATCCTTGTTAAAAATAGTCTTGTCCAAGAAAGTATAATTGTTAATGAGTTAGCCCGCTACTAATACAAAAATTAAACAGCTTATTCTGATGTATTTCATGTAACTTCTGTGATGCATTTTCTGGAAGTACATATTAGAATGTAAGTAAAACTAAACAAGGTCTTGATTTTCTTTCCCTTGTAACGTATTCTGTGAACATGCATCAGATTAGCATTTATTTTTCTATGGGGTTGGATGATTTAGATGAGGAATAAAAGCGTTACCCTAATTGCATTACTCAGGTCATTGATTTGGGCTCAGTTGGCACAATGTGCCTATACATTCTGGTCTGTTGTTTAAAAAGATGACATCACTGACAGTGTTGCTATCCATACAAAGTAGTGTGACTGGAGAAAATAATCGATGCATAATCAACAGTCCTTTGTACACAAAATTGAAGCTGCTTGTTTGCTGGTTATCTTGCAGCCAGGCTTACACTTTTAGTAAAAACAGAAAGGAAAATCTCACATGATCTCTGATTGTTGCGTTGCAGGGGTTCCAACATTTGTTGATATTTGTCTGCAAAGCACAGACAAGTTGAATTGCTTCATGTCTGCACCTTTATGTCATTATAACAATTGGGTCTCTTTTCTCTCCGTGTCTCAGATTCTGATTTTACAGGCCTGGAGGAAACTTTGACATACAGACCCTTAGCTATGTCCCAGAATAAGAGAAGACTTTGGTGTCCATTCATATGTGGATGCAGGAAATAGGGAGGGCTATTGAAAATAGGGTATATGGTTCTCAGAGATCTTTCTACAGTGAGGGTGTCTTTAACAAATTGGGAAACCCTTCCTGTGAGTAGAATAGATGGAGTTGGATGATAATGGTTAGCTTCTCAAAAATGACCAATTACTTTAAACCTTCCTGTTGAGTGAGGATCTCGTGGACATTGCTGTAGGTTCTGTAATAGGCTGTGGCTCACTTACTCTTTACTTCTATTTGCAGAAGGTGATAGAGAGTAGCCACCAAAGACAGCATTTCCTTTCTGTATTTTATGTTTTGAACACTTTCTTTCATTCTACACACAATTTAAGAAGGACATGCATGCAATAAAATAGTAAAAATGTGAATTAAAGCATTAGGAATAAAGAAAATAGAATTATGTCAGTAAGCCACAATGGGGGAAATTGAAAACAGATAAGGCAGTGGTTCTCAACTGGAGTGCTGAAATGATATAGTATGCAGTAAAGTTTTTACAAATATACAACTTTAATTTTTGTTATGAAACAGTTATGTTCATTATGTATAATATTGAGGTGCTGCAGGTTGTACAATTTGATTCAAGTTGGAACTAAAGGCAAAGCATATCATTAACTTGGCTTTAGAAGGAGATAGTGGTTCACTGGAATGTAAGAGAGCTTTGCCTTGTGATTGTATGGGAAATTATTGAGCAGAGGTAATTCTGAAACACTTGCAATGCTGAAAGGGTGCCATATGGATAGGGGATAATTGTGGATGGGTTCTAGGTCATCTGAGATGGTATAATAATTAATTTAGAGTTATTTTAACTTATTTAATTCATTTAAGTTGGCTGCCCTAAACTCTGACATTCAAAGTATTTCACAAACATGAAAAGTTTGAGAACCACTTCTAAAAGATGCCTTAGAGTTGATGCTAAGCTTCCTGATTGTAAATAGGAGAGGATAGGGAAGGGAAGTATAATCTGTTTCATAGTTCTAGGGATAAGCAGAGATTTTTCTTAAATTTAGCTCTAAACTGAGCCTCTTACCTGAGACTTTACACAGGGATATGTTAATAAATACAAGTGCAACTGGAAGAAGTAGGTATTTTATCTTAGGGAAGGCTGGATCTAGCCTTCTAGTTCAAAGCCCAGATATATATATTTTTTTCATTGCTTAGGGAGATGACTAGGAGAAATTGGTTAACATTAACTAAAATGCACATTAGATTGGGTTGGAACCAGAATACTAATTTAGTCATTTATAAAAAGAAATATTGCCATGACATGGAGTAGAAATTCTCACACAGGGCATGGTCAGCATGCTTCCCCCTGTGGTTAAGCATAGGAGCTAGATCATATTCACAAGTCTCTTTATTAACTATGAGAAATACTCAAAATCGATATGACCAGCATATTATTTTTATGTGTAGAGAGTAACAAAGAAATCAGGATGTTGCTTGGCAAATGAGAACTAAGAACAAAGAGGGCGAGAAAAGTTTTTTGTGGAAGACACTGAACTACAACCCCAAGTACTAAACACAGGAGAGAGTGAAAAATATGCTAAACGATGTCCCTACAGCAGATGTAGTATCAAATTTTATCGGGCAATTTCTTTAATTATTCCTTGATAAAATCAGAATCTTTGATATAACCCCAAAATAAAAGCAAGTCTTCAGATGTAATATGGTCAAAATATACTAATGTGACAGTCCTACTCTACTAGAGATTAATATATGAACTTTGTATACTTCACTTAATCCTAATCAATTTTCTCAACTGGGCTTTTGAGAAGTGTTGAATGTTGGGATTGTTCAAGGTTTAGTCCATGGCAAGGGCTTGTGGAGTAGGGTATTTTATATTATTTACCAAGACACTGTGATTTAGAGATCAAAAGAACAAACGGGGAGGTTATACTGGGGAAAGGGCAAATTAGGACATGTATTTGGATGAATCACTGGTTATATATGAAGGTGGATTTTAGGATTTCTGAAGAAGCACTTTTATCCACTATAACATATAAATAAAAAAATAGGTTCCTAAAGTTCTATACAATGGTGGATATAATTTTGGCCTGGAAAAAATGTCAAAGCTGCTGTCTTGAGAGAAAACAGATGGCCCACTTTCAAAAGATAGAGAGGCTGAGCTTGGTGATGGCTCTTGCTTGTAATCCAACCACTTTGGGAAGCTGAGGCTGGAGAATCACTTCAGCCCAAGACTTTGACACCAGCCTGGGCAAGATGGTGAGTCCCCCATCTCTATTGAAAAAAGAAAGAAGGCCAGGTGTGGCAGCTCACGCCTGTAAACCCAGCACTTTGGGAGGCTGAGGTGGGTGGATCACTTGAGCTCAGGAGTTTCAGATCAGCTTGGCCAACATAGTGAAAACCCGTCTCTACTAAAAACACAAAAAGTAGCTGGGCATGGTGGTGTGTGCCTATAATGCCAGCAACTGGGGAAGCTGAGCTGGGAGAATAGCTTGAACGCAGGAAGTGGGGGTTGTATTGAGCTGAGATTCCACTACTGCACTTCAGCCTGGGTGACAGAGTGAGACTCTTTCTAAGAAAGAAAAGAAAAGAGAGAGAGAGGAAGGAAGGAGAGAGAGAAAGAGAAAGAAAGAAAGAGAAGAGAGAAAGAAAGAAAAAAAACAGCAAGAAAGAGAGAAAGAAAAAGTGAAGAGAGTTGGATGAAGGTTGAATGAAGGGATAATTAACTAGGTATGTAAAAGGTTAAGGAAAACCATCAGGGGATAGTGAGGGACCAAAGGCTACCAACAAGAAGAAGCAGTTATCATTCTGAAGGGGTAAGAGGAAGGAATAAGTTTCTTCAAGAACCAGCAAGAACCGTGGGTCAAACTTGACAGGACCTGTGACCTTCCACAGAGAAATGCAGCCTCTGCCAAACTGCAGCCTGTTTTCCCTTTCCTCCTACCTTTGATTGCCATTTCTCATTGGCTACACCCAGCTGGAAGTTAGAGTAAGGGTTGATTCAGTACAGACAGAACAGTTTCCTGGAACAGAGAATAGGATACGGAAAGATGGAGAGTGGATCTGAAAGGACACACGGAGAAGATCCAGGGCAATAACTACTTCCAGCTTCTATGGACAGAGAAATATCAATACTTACCTTCTATAGGATAATTTAGTGGCAAAATATGCCCCTCATCTGTATACCCAGTTTTCTAATTATAAGGGCTTATTTTATGAAACAGTTACATTTTGGGTGATAGTTGTAAAGAATAATTATTTTATTTTAAGAAAAAGGCCCAAATCAATAGGTGTTTTATTCCATAATAAAAATATCACAAATAAGGCCAGGTGCGGTGGCTCACCCATGCAATCCCAGCACCCTGGGAGGCTGAGGAAGAATTGCTTGAGTTCAGGAGTTTGAGACCAGCCTGGGCAACATAGAAAAACTCTGTCTCTACAAAAAAATACAAAAAATTAGCCAGGCATGTTGGTGCGTGCCTGTAGTCTTAGCTCCTTGAGAGGCTGAGGTAGGAGGGTTGCTTGAGCCCAGGAGTTTGAGGCTGCAGTGAGCTGTGATTGTTCCACTACATTCCAGCTTGTGTGACAGGGCAACACTCTTTTTTAAAAAATCACAAATCAGTTTTAGGATTCATCTGGCATCTTGTTTCTGAAGCTGGACAACTCTTAGATCTTATCAGCCTGCTGAACTGTTCCTTTTTCAGAGACATAGATGACATCCAAAATTTTTCTGATGTCTTTGATTTTAACTGGTATGGCTTGCTGAATCAAAGCAAGTGAAC